AACAGGCGCTGGTGGGGGCCAGGCGAGCGTGCCTGAGTCTACATTCTGCGGGAGCATGATGTGGGGGAGGGGAAGGACTACAGCGTGGGCCAGAATAGGGGGGAGCTGGGGCAAGGTAATTACACTGGACCCCTCCATCATAGAGGTGGCAGCAATTCATTTTACAGTAGACACCTATTCTGGATATGGGCTCGCCCTTCCTGTCTTAAAAACTAATTTAAAAATGGTAATGGAAACAACATGTTAGCTGACATCATTGGTATTCACTTGAAGAAACAATCCTTAACAAAAGATCACATCATGAGTTAGTGAAAAACTCGGAAATATAAACCCCAACTCAATTACATCCTTTTTCATTAGATTCTTCTAACAAGAATAGTGAAAATATTCAATGCACATGCAGTTTCTCACCCAGAAAATACAGACACATAGGCAAGTAAGTGTGTACAAAAACATTAAATGGTTTAGGCTTCAATTATCTCCATTCATAGCTTGGAAGGATTAAACTGCTGCATTTTCATCCTTGCCAAGTAAAGCACAGCCTTCCCTTCAAATGAAGAGCCCTCTGGCTCAAGTTGGCATCAAAAGGAAGCCTTAAGGAGTTTTAGAAATTTATATTGAAAGTTTGACTATGTGAACTAAACCATGTTAGGCAAAATGAAAATAAAGCTTAATGACTGCACTGTATCCTTTCAGTGTGAAGTGTCAATGTTTTAAGAAAAATATTCCAGTGGAAATTCTGAAAACATCTTCATATGTCATTTAGAGTTCCTGCATAAAGAAAGTCTCCTTGGATGATGATAGTCATTGTATTTCTAAAGGAGTAATACTATGGCTCATTTTGGGAAAATACAGTTAATAGAACACTTGTAGTATTTTCTGGAAGCTTCAGACATTTCCACAGAGAATGGTTCAAAGCAGTATCATAATCTGTACTGCTGCTACGCTTGAGCTAGGCGGCTCTGCCTCGCTCATGGTGACACCTGCTCTGCGGTGCTGTCCAGTTTTTCTTAGGCCTGGATATATCAGTGAACGGGCAGCATAAGAGGGTGGAATAAAAATGTCTTTCACCTGCTTCCACTGTTCATGAAGAGGTCCGCTGAAGGTCACATGACTGTTGCAATCACTAAGAGAAACTAGCGAATGCCAACAAGTCCTCCCCTGGGCAGCAGAATTCAACTGCAGTCTCAGAGGTCACCGACTCAAACACTGGAAGGCATGAGGCCCTCACCTAAATAGCCAAGATGATCAAATAGTAAAAAGGCACAGGGCACACACACTAAGTGACTAAGGGTCTCAGGATGAGAGACAGTAGGAATGAGGGGACTGAGATCAACCAAAAAGAGCCCATCACTGACCAAAAAGGATGGTGACCGATTAGCTCCAGCCAATTGTTGTTGTGAAAACATGATTTTTAATATGAAAATCCAGTATTTAAAAAATATTGGAATCTAATTCAAAGCATTTTAACCAGTATGGAAAAAAAAATTTAAAACATCTAGAGACTCAACTTGAAACCTCTGATAGATTATTGCTTTGGTTACATTTGTTTGCAGAAAACCAACCCTACCTTCCTACATTCCCTATAGCAAATAATACTGCCAAATAATATTCTGTACAGATGTACTAATTTAGGACGATGATATGAGGAACTTGTTTGAATGGGGTCCCCATTCACAAGATACTATTCTCAGGAAGATGTCTCAATTTCTAGGAATTGTTTTAAAATTTCACTTTTTAAGCACATCACCTTCTATCTAGACGTCCCTTCCCTTTCTTTGTCTTTCCTGTCCTGAAGCACTGGGACCACAGTGAAGACTCGTGATGCTTACAGAGAGCTCGGACTGCCTCTCACTTAAGAGACTGGACACTAGACACACGGAGACTCAGACGGCAGGCTCTGAACACAGGCTCACATGATGACAAGACCGCAATGCTGGGTAAACAGAAGCATACTCCCGCCTGCCTTTCCTCACCAGTCCAATCATTAGCAGAAGTGCTTCTGTTGTAAGAAAGAAACCGGGGCTGGATTTATTTATTTCAGATCCTGAATGAACACCAACATCTTCNAAAAAAACATCAATACGTTGGCAGTTACATCAAACTTCCTCTTAATGCAAGGCCAGGTGAACTGCACACCTATTCTAGTAGTAGCATCTATTATGTTTGCATAGTGGCTATTTTACTTAGTGAATACAGAAAATTTCAAAATGATGAGTGGATTCACAGGAACAGTAAAACATTCTTTTGTGCTATAAAAAAATGAAAATTATTCAGAGTGATGTGAAGACCATGATTACTTTAAAGAAGAGGTTTTCCCCCATTAAATGTTTAGAAAACTATCATTCCTATTTTAATGTCTTCTGTAAAGACTTCATATGAATTTAATGAAGCTAATTCATGTGATAATTATAACAAAGATTTTCCTAGAATCCCCAGGAAGCTATTCACTTTTCTCATGAGTTCAACTCAAAGCTCCTACCACCAAGTATGTGGACCCAGCCTTCTTGCCAATGTATCCAATAGCTCGGCATGAATTTTCACCACACTAGGGGTGCTTTGCCTGTGGTTACAGAGATGTAGTCGTTTATGAAGATACTTTCTTTCCTCAAATGCACATTCCCACTGAAGTGTTTATACTTCCATACTCATCTCGGGAAACCTCCTAACGTCACCTGAGATTTGGGTGGTGACCCACCACAGCCCACCTCCTCTCCTTCTCCCATGCACCCCCACACGGCCATCAGCACGATTTAACAACGGAAGAGAAGAGCACGTCTGAGCTCACTCCTTGTCTCCCGGGAGGCAGGGTAACCTCACCTGTCACGCGAAGGCCTGAGGGGCAGGGTAACCTCACCTGTCACGCGAAGGCCTGGGGGGCAGGGTAACCTCACCTGTCATGCGAAGGCCTACCTACCGTGCCCAGGCTCACTTCCTGCTACCTCTCTGGAGGAACTTCTCTCTGCAGGGCCCTTTCACCTCACAGCCTCCTGTGAACCGACTCTTCAAAATTAGCTCAAAGGTCGCCATCCTTCCCTAGGAACAGCGTTCCCTTCACTGCCACTCCACAAAGATGTCGCTATTGTCACGGTTACTACAATATTCCATGATATTCTGGTTTCTTATCTGGCCTTCCTGAGTTGCTCGAGGGAGGAGTCAAGCCTAATTGATTTTTATAGCTCTATGGTTCCTATGTGCTTGGAAATCGTATGTGTTCAAATGGCTGTTGAATAACGAAGTGACATCACACACACACTCACACACACACACACACACACACACACACACACACACACACACAGTGGTTCTTGCAAATTTGCTGGTGCTTTCTAAAAATAGTCATTGCATCTTCAAATGGGAAGTCTTGGGAAAAGAAGGGTCTTATGGTAAAGCATTTCATTAAAAATAAATATTTTTTTACTGAACAGAGNCGTGTGTCAACGGGGCCATGGATGAGAAGCCCCGAGGGCCAGAAACAGCCGAAGCAAAGGCGTGGCGCCTTCCGAGGACAACCAGGGCCCGCTGTGGGGGGACGGCGAGCCGAGTTGAGTTCAGTGCGAGCGCCAGATACCAGCCGGGGACTCGGGATGGAAGTCGGAGGGGAGGCCAGGGTCACCATGTGTGCAGGCCAAGGAGCCGGCACCTAAGGCAGAGGAACAGGGAGATTGTGGGCGCCCTGGCGTCAGGAGGCGTTACCTTCCGTTTGACTGGAGCCTTGTCAGCCCTGTGTCTGTTCAGCTTAGAAGCACTTGTAGGCATGAGTTTCCTCACTCTTGAGTGCCTCGCTGATGTCTCACCTCTTAAGAGCAGTAAGGCCCTGGGGGGAGCAGAGGCACCACGTCTGACCAGGCGCACAGACGGGGCTAGCCTGAAATTCAGACTTCAAGAGACATGGCTTCGAACAGCATCGCCGCACGCACCCTTCAACTACTAAAAATAGAGAAAGCCTGAAAAGCCTGAATTTCCCCTCTTCCTTCCTAGTGTCTACGAAGAGGAGCTGAGGAACAAAGAAATGGCAGGAAGCAGGAGGCAGGAAAAAAAAAGGCCCGAATTAATAGAAGCATCTACATCCGCGTTGAAAATGCGAGTGCAAACTGTAGTGCTCCAGTTTGGGAATAGTCATGAAAACTAAATCGTGGGCCACCAAACTTCTTCTGTCATTTTAACTCCTCCCTGCAAGAAGGGAATCAAGCTTTGGAATTTGTGCCGCTTTTTCAGTTGCCCTCTACGTCTGTTTGGCTCACTTCAGTTACCAGTTACTTTCTGTAATGATGGTAATTTATAAAAGCCTCAACATAACCAAGGCAATCTGTTTCTAAGAAGAAAATATTAACTTGATTCAGGTTGCTTTTTCTGTTCCTTTCCTGGAAAATAAATTAGACACCAAACAAGGTCACCAAAGCCATAATGCCCCCAAATAAATCAGGTCCTTGCTGACAGGTAACACATTTAATCCACTGGCAGGCGTTCTGTTCGGAATGATAATCTGAAAAGTGTCCCTTAGTCCTTCTCCAGTGTACCCAGTGGAGCCCGAGTGACACTAGCGAGAATGCGGCTTCACTGGCGCTCTCACAGTGCTCAGGGAAGGCTTATTGATCAGACGTTTGTGTGAACAGTCATCAGAGGGAGAAGCCCAGTTCTCCAGCCACATGCCTGGGGCAGGCTAGATAAACCCCACAATGGGAAGAACTTTCCAGAGCAGACAGGACAGACAGCACCTCTCCCTGCACTTTTCATTAGCTCGCTGTGTTTTCCTCTCTTCGCAGGTCAAAATTTGAGGGCTAGGGCTGTGTTGACAGATTGCAGAGTATGAAGAATGCTACCAAGGTGTGAGGAAATTAATTGGTATCATCTATTAATAGGTAATAAACTCTGAAAATGAGATAAAGGGGAAATGGGACAATACTATGAAGTGAATTTTAATAGAGCTACATTTCATTTTCCTTCTTTACGAAAAAAACGCTTTAAGAGACATACCTTAGTAGACGATGGTTTCCAACAGAAAAACATGAGAAACCTCACATTCTTCCCAGTTGTTATCAGCTATAAAATTTCCCTATTTCATGCAGCATACGTGTATCAAGTACAGTTTTAACACCCGGTACGTAGGCCCATGGTTCCTCAAACAAGATTTTGTTTTACCTCATGTGACCACTGTGTGTTTCTCCAACTGGAAAGTCAGTTGCCTTTTTCTAATATTTTCAGGGGTTGAAGGCCTCGGGTCTACCGATACTGACTAACCATCTCTGTCAGTGGGGTCACGTAGTCCTCTATGTGGGTTCTTATTGTCAAAAAGGACACAGTGATCATCAGATTAAGACTTTGCTAGGCTTTTTTGGGGGGGAAGGTGAGACAGGCTCAAGCCCAGGTTCTAATCATTGGTACGAATAGTTATGAAATCAGCAAGTGTGATGTTGCTACAGCAGACTAATATCTCCAAAGTTTCTCTCAGTCGTGTTTAGGAATGAACGTGTGTAAGCATCCGAGAAGTTGCAGAGTGCTTATAAAACCATTTCTTGGTACTCTGTCTCCCTGGTGTCCTAACCTTATCAGAGAATATAAGGATAACATCAGAGACACAGCTGCAGTTTTTAGTAAACAGGTCTCTTCATCTTTGCCGATAAAGATCAACTATTATTTACAGCAGAATTTGAATCAGTTCAAACTGAATGCATTTCAAAGGGATTTATAAGATAACCTCACAATATCTTATGGGTTTAATTTGTATTTTTAGAAAAATGGGCAGAGTTCTTGAAAAAAGTCTCCATTATTTTCTATACCCATGCAGATAAAACTCCCACAGCCAAAGTTGCTAAGCTTTGTATACATTTCTGAGAAACCCCCTGAATTTTAAAAGAAAATCCCTTAAAAAATACATGTTTGACTTTCTGCAAACCAACACCATTTTCATCAAGAGCTTCCTCTGTTGGCTATTAACTCTTTCGCTGATAGAGGCCTAACCATCAGGGATAGTTTGAGCACTTAAAAATATACTAGCTGTCTTCAGGTTCCGTTCTGCTGCCCAAACTGTGCCTATCTGTTCAACAGATACCCGTCAAGTCCCCGTTTGCTGCTGGCCCTGGCCCAGGCACAGAGAAGCGACGGAGAAGAGCATAAACAAAAACCCTGGCCCTCACAGAGTTTTAGAACACAGAGTTGCTATAGAATGAGAAGATACAGTAAAATGTAAGTGAGTAGTCTTTTAGCAAATGCTATACTTCCGGAATATGATGAAAGGGCTTTGGAGAGAAACGAATGCAGAGCAGGGTAAGGGGGTCCTCAAGAGGTACCGTTCTGAACGCACAGCAGGCCTCCGTGAGAAATCAGATGACATTCAGGTGAACACAGGAAGGATGGGAAGTACATTTGGAAAAATAACTTGAAAGAGGTGAGACAGGTATCTGGAGGAACAATATTCCAGGCAGGGGAAACAGCTACTTGACCCGAGCCTGGAGACGGGGCCTTGCTTTGTAGTGTTCAAGGAGCAGCAAAGCCTCAAGTGGGAACACAGAACAGAGGTCAAAGAGGTGATGGAGGGCCCCAGCATGTGGGGTCGGTAGGCCTTTGTACAGAATTTGGCTAGTTCTTTAAATGAGACGAAGAAGCCACTGGAAAACTTTGAGAAGAGTGACATGACCTGATTTCTATTTTTAAAGATCACAGCAGCTCACGTGTTGAAGACAGACTGTGGGGGACAAAGATGGGAGCAGGGGACAGCAATTGGGGTAACTCAGGTGAGAAATGACATTGTCATGGAGCAGGATGGTTATGGTGGAGGCGGTGTAAAGTGGCCAGGCTGTGGATATGCTCTGAAAGCAGAACGAACAGTACTTCCTCACAGAGTTGCTGTGGAGTATGACAGAAAGAGGCTGCGCAGATGACTCCAGCCTTGTGACTGAGGAGCTGGGTGGATGGCGCTGCCCTTTGATGAGATGGGGAGATTGTGGGTTAAGGAGGTTTGACGTAAAAGAGCATACCGATGTAATCTGACTAACCATTGTCACCCCAATAAATTTAATTAAAAAGAAAAACAAGTAAAAGGGCAGGGATGCAGTTTAGGAAACATGGTCTGAGACGTCTTATCAGACAAAGACATAGATGTAGAGATGGCGGGCTGGCAGCCTGGACATGTGGTGTGGGCAGCTAGAGGGAGGTCCAGCCTGGAGATGTACAAATTTGGGAGTCATTAGCACACAGGTGATGCTTAAAGCCATGAGATGGCCAATGGTGTGCCAGGAAAGAGGGATAAGAACCTTGCCCAGCTCCACTGAAACGTATTACAAACAAACACTCTTGAGTGTTGATGCGCACCAAGGTCTGAAATTCAGCTGCATTTAAAAGCACTTCAGACATACATCAGTGTGTTTAAAAGTCAAGTTGAAACTTCCGAATACAGCATAAAAGAGTGACGGGTTGCTATGATGACATCCTTGAGGTTCAGATATTGTAATACTTGAGTCAAGTGATCTTCTTTTTCATCTTTGGACCATTAGTTTCTAGCATCATGCCTCAGAGTAGATAGAGGCACAAGAAACAATTACTGAAATTGATAAGTGCAAAAATATTTGTGATACTAAAGAAATTTTCAGGTCATGTTGAAATGAAATCAAAATCACAATGAGATACCACCTCACACCTGTTAGCATAGCTATTACCAGTGAGAGAAGAAACAGGAAGTATTGGAGAGAATGTGGAGAAAACAGAATCCTTGTACACTGCTCAAGTAAATTGGAATGTAAATTGGTACAGCCTCTATGGAAAACTGCACGAAAGCTCCTCAAAACATTAAGACAGGGAGGGCTACCATATGACCCAGCAATCCCTCATCTGGGTATCAACCCCCAAAATTGGAAAGCATTTATTTGTAAAGATATAAGTACCCTTATGTTCACTGCCGTATTATTCAAGGTAACCAAGACATGGAAACAACCTAATTGTCCTTTGAATGGATGATGGGATAAAGAAAGTGTGGTACACATTCACAATGGAATATTACTCAGCCATAAGAAAGGATGAAACACTGCCACAGTGTCACAGCATGGATGGATCTTGACAGCATCATGCTAAGCGACGTAAGTCAGATAGAAAAGGGCAAGAACTATAGGATTTCACACATTTGTGGGATATAAAACAGAAAGCAACAAATGAACAAACAAAACAAACTCACAGACACAGGCATCAATCAGTATGGTGGTTACCAGAGGGGGAGGAAGATGAAGAGGGAAAGGGGGTCAAATATATGGTTACGGAAGGAGACCAGATTTTGGGTGGCGACCACGCAATGCAATGTACAGATGACGTATTATAGAATTGTACACTTGAAACATATAATTATTAACCAATGTTACCTCAATAAATTATTTTTTAAAAGGAAAAAATTAAAAAGTCCTTATCATTTAGAGATACAGACTGAAAAATTTACAAATGAAATGATATGTTTGGGATTTTTTTGAAATTATCTGGGATGGTAAGGGCTCCTGGGTAGGTTGTACAAATGAAATAAGATTGGCCATATATTGATAATCGTTGAAGCTAGGTGACAATTAAATGTGCATATATCATACTATTTTGTCTACTTTTTCAAGTTTGTAGTTTTCATATTAAAAAGCTTTAAAAGTTTTTGAAATTTTAAATACATAAGCTAGGGCCAGCCGAGTCNGGGTAAAAATGGACTTAGTTCATCTTGAATATGACTAGATCATAATTCAAACAACTTAAACTATTTATTGTACATTCATCACATGGGATATTAAAAATATGATGAACTAACACAGTCATTTATGTTTATGGGCAGAATGTGTGCTGCTTCAGGATGCCCTAAACTGTCCCTCAGATTAGAAGACATAGCAGGTCACACATGCTAAATCAGGTGAAGTGCCCAAGCAAACAAGCTTGATTTAAAAGTCTGTATTACAGTCTAAAAGATAACTAGGGAGAGTTAAAATGTAGCACAATTCTATCAATTACTGATAAAGATTGAAAAAAATCTTTAGGTGATTAAAAACCACTGTTTGGGGTATACTAATACATGGAAAACACTATATAATATAAGTAAAACATGTAATTCTATTTTCATTATTATATAGGCAGTAAGAGCTGGTAGCTAAGGAAACCAAATGCTGTTTAAAAATGAAGTTTCTATTCTAGAGTTCTATTAATTATAAAAATTTCAAAATGTCTAAAGAGCTGCGTTTCAAAGGCTTCATTTTTGCAGAAAAGACAATTTGTGTTTCTGGTCAGCAGTATTCAATCCTGGATATCGGATTAAGAACACATCTATATTCAGACAGCAGGTGTGAGGAGGTATCAAGCATGTAACATGACCTGCTGCCAGACGTCCCATCCATCTCCTGGTAAAAGTCTGCCTGATGTTTTAGGTATCTGATGACCCAATTTATAGCCACTCAGTTATCCAAAGACTATTTCGTTACGTTAGTCTACTTGATATTATAGTAGCAGAAAACACTCTGTCCTTTTTTATTTTCCTAAGTATATGGTGGGGGAGGGATAGCGGCCTCGGATGCTTCCCCAAGCACACACGCTGCTACGCGCCAAAAGGGAGCCGGTGCAGCTGTTAGAGGCTGCTGAAATGCGTGCGTTGCTTTCTTCTCCAAAGGGAGCAGGAGGGAGGGGGGAAGAAGGGGAAGGGGGAGGGAAAGAGGGGAAGGGAGTGATGCAGACCACCTGACATGTATCAGGATGAGAAGGGAGGCTTCCATTTCAAACTAGGACAAAATCAAGACAAAGCTCAGGAACTAGGCGCCAGAATCGAGGAGGACTCGAGGAGGACTCGACTTGCGAACGTGAGGCAGAGACCAGGGTCAGCCCCCTCGCTCAGGGATTTCACTGTGTTTCGTATACAGATGGCTGGGTTTGCCCAGGATTCGAGGGTCTGGGTGTGACAGAATGAGAGAAGTATTTGCAAGAAACTGTGATGCACCTGTGGGTAGGGAGAGGCGTGGGGGACAGAGGGAGGGCCAGCAGGTCCGTCAGTGGGTGGGGCCTCTCAGTGTGGTCCCAGAGGCCTTGCTGAAAAGGCACCTGGATGACAGGAAGGGGTGGGATATGTGACTAGTGATTGGCGAACAGTACATTTTCTGGTATCTACAAGACACAAGGAGTGAACTGAGGTGCTGAGGGTCATGGTGCCAGGCTGGGACATCTCAGTGGGCGACAAAATCATCTAAAATGATGGTAGGAGTTAGACAACTGCCTGAGAGTGTCCTGTCTCCAGTAAACTGGGAAACTGGTAGGTGTCACTAATGAAAAATGAAAGACGGTTGGTGTAGCTAGGCGACCAAAGCCTCAAGGGTGTAGGATATTTGCAGAAATGTAGGGCAGGAAGCATTTTTAAGTGCAATTTGCCTCCCAGGGGACATTTGGTGATGTCCTGGGACGTTTTTGGTTACTACCGGTATTTAGAGGGTGGAGGCCAGGGACACTGCTAAACACCCTACAATGTGCACGACAACTCTCCACAGCGGAAAGGATCCAGCTCAGTGTGTCAACGGGGCCATGGATGAGAAGCCCCGAGGGCCAGAAACAGCCGAAGCAAAGGCGTGGCGCCTTCCGAGGACAACCAGGGCCCGCTGTGGGGGGACGGCGAGCCGAGTTGAGTTCAGTGCGAGCGCCAGATACCAGCCGGGGACTCGGGATGGAAGTCGGAGGGGAGGCCAGGGTCACCATGTGTGCAGGCCAAGGAGCCGGCACCTAAGGCAGAGGAACAGGGAGATTGTGGGCGCCCTGGCGTCAGGAGGCGTTACCTTCCGTTTGACTGGAGCCTTGTCAGCCCTGTGTCTGTTCAGCTTAGAAGCACTTGTAGGCATGAGTTTCCTCACTCTTGAGTGCCTCGCTGATGTCTCACCTCTTAAGAGCAGTAAGGCCCTGGGGGGAGCAGAGGCACCACGTCTGACCAGGCGCACAGACGGGGCTAGCCTGAAATTCAGACTTCAAGAGACATGGCTTTGAACAGCATCGCCGCACGCACCCTTCAACTACTAAAAATAGAGAAAGCCTGAAAAGCCTGAATTTCCCCTCTTCCTTCCTAGTGTCTACGAAGAGGAGCTGAGGAACAAAGAAATGGCAGGAAGCAGGAGGCAGGAAAAAAAAAGGCCCGAATTAATAGAAGCATCTACATCCGCGTTGAAAATGCGAGTGCAAACTGTAGTGCTCCAGTTTGGGAATAGTCATGAAAACTAAATCGTGGGCCACCAAACTTCTTCTGTCATTTTAACTCCTCCCTGCAAGAAGGGAATCAAGCTTTGGAATTTGTGCCGCTTTTTCAGTTGCCCTCTACGTCTGTTTGGCTCACTTCAGTTACCAGTTACTTTCTGTAATGATGGTAATTTATAAAAGCCTCAACATAACCAAGGCAATCTGTTTCTAAGAAGAAAATATTAACTTGATTCAGGTTGCTTTTTCTGTTCCTTTCCTGGAAAATAAATTAGACACCAAACAAGGTCACCAAAGCCATAATGCCCCCAAATAAATCAGGTCCTTGCTGACAGGTAACACATTTAATCCACTGGCAGGCGTTCTGTTCGGAATGATAATCTGAAAAGTGTCCCTTAGTCCTTCTCCAGTGTACCCAGTGGAGCCCGAGTGACACTAGCGAGAATGCGGCTTCACTGGCGCTCTCACAGTGCTCAGGGAAGGCTTATTGATCAGACGTTTGTGTGAACAGTCATCAGAGGGAGAAGCCCAGTCCTCCAGCCACATGCCTGGGGCAGGCTAGATAAACCCCACAATGGGAAGAACTTTCCAGAGCAGACAGGACAGACAGCACCTCTCCCTGCACTTTTCATTAGCTCGCTGTGTTTTCCTCTCTTCGCAGGTCAAAATTTGAGGGCTAGGGCTGTGTTGACAGATTGCAGAGTATGAAGAATGCTACCAAGGTGTGAGGAAATTAATTGGTATCATCTATTAATAGGTAATAAACTCTGAAAATGAGATAAAGGGGAAATGGGACAATACTATGAAGTGAATTTTAATAGAGCTACATTTCATTTTCCTTCTTTACGAAAAAAACGCTTTAAGAGACATA